GTCTTGCTCTGAGTTGTAACTTAGGTTTGGGATACCTGCAGACAAAATAAAGAGGTGCAACCACACCAAAAATCAGAAAATGCAACTGATTTGTTGAGCAATGAGGAATGGCAGTGCAAAAACTGATTTGGTATTAAAGGGAAGTAGAATGACAAAGAGAAAGGGGAAAGAAGAGAGGAAAAGAGGTAGAAAGATTCACCACTCTGGTTTCCAGCATTGTCCAGCGGCATTTTCAGATCTAGGATGGTGGACATACCTGTAACTTGGTAGGTCGCCTTTTTATGGCATTGGGCAAACCTAGTCCCCTCCTACAGGTGGAGTCTGTATATTAGCTTCTACGCAGGCACTATGGCATCTTCTAGAAGATTCTCCAAATGAGTTGGAGGGAGGTCACCTGGGGATCTCTGAGAGTCTCTAGTGGTCAGGTACCCCTATAACTTGCTTGACCACAATTTCATCTTTCTTTGAGCATGCGCATTTTGACTTTATGGCATCGACAAAGGGCAGTTTGTGGTTAGGTAGCTGTGGGAGCAGAACGTGAAGTGAACAACATACAAAGGAGGAGTCAGACCACCACTGTTCGTAACTCTGTGGTTTCCTGTAGACAATCTTTAAGCATTAAGCACAAGTGGTAAAATAAGATAAGGACCTCGCCTGTTTGAGACATCCTTCTTCTTTACAGTCTCTCACAGACAGTCTTCCAGCTTCAACTATTCTGTGATTCTGTGAATTAGAGCTTTTCTAAGCTGTCTTGGTTTAGAAGACAGGGGAAAAGCCTCCCTTGAAACCGGGATTGTAAACCCCTCCCCCACACCTCCGAATTACTATACCTTTGAAATGATGGGGCTTTCAGACAAAGATATGGGGATAGGAATACCAGTTCTTTACTGAAAAATTGTAAACTACGAGGGGTAATGATACAGGGAAAAAAAAAAACAACAAGAAACAAATAATCCCCGAACCCGACAGAGTCAGAGTACCTGACTTGGGAAAACAAAAAAAAGTCCAAATAGATCCAGATTACAGTCCTGCTGGAGCGGCAGGTGTTGCTCCGGATGATTCGGTAGATAAGTCCGGGTGGCGATGGGGCGAAAGTTCAGTCCTCCGGCCAAGGCGAAGAAAAAGCGGCGGCTCTCACCAGGTCCCAGGACCGACGAAAGCTCCACACCAGGTTCCCCTCCCCCAGTCCGGCCCTCGCGGCCGCCGCTACCCCCCAAAGTTCCGGCGCGCTGGGGCGGCTCCGACCATTTTCCCCCATCGTTAACCCGTGATTACCCACTAACAAAAGCACCTGCCCCTGGATTTAACACGGAATGAAAAAAACAAAACAAACAAACAAAAAAATTCTTCCAGCCGGTTTCAACAGATGAAAATAGAATTACACATTTTTGGTTACATATTGTAACCCAAGACATAAGCTAAGTCAGTTTACCATGAGGGGAAGGGAGTGATGCAGAACAGAAAAGAATGCAGTGTGGTGATTTGGGATTACCATCAAAACTACAAGTCAAAGGTCTAGTCTGATCTAAGTTACCTTTTTATGAAAGTAACAAAACGTCTTTCTTCCTCCTTACACCTTCTCCTTTGAGTGCCTACACCATTAGGCTCTTTTTGCTGAGGTGCAAAATGCAAACTGCTTGAAAGGTTCATTCATCTGGAAACCTACATAGAGAGATTCCACATCATGTCCTCACTATCCATGGTGAGCTGATTGGTCTAAACACCAAGTGTTCACTGTGTCAATGTTTGGCTGCAGGGGAGAGGTTTTAACCAGCCAGCTGGTGGGAAAGGACCTTCTTGCAAAGGAAAGTTTGACTAGAGCTAGCATGTCGCATGGTAGCCAAAGGTCTGCACGTCCCTCGGCCATCAGGAGCCAACAGGAGCACCTTCTTGTCAACTTGCTGTCTGGGTCTGAGGAGTGTCCCAGGAAAGGTGGCTGCTGAGAATAAGATGTAGCCAGAGGGATTTTCTGCTGACAGCCTGTCCATCTTTGAGTGTACAGCCCAGCCCTGGCCCACCTTTCTGTTTCTGATCTCATGGGGTTTTTGTTGGAGGAAGCATTCATGTGTTCTACAGAGACATGCTCAGGAGCAGAACTCTGCTCCATCCTAGTTCAGTTTCCAGACCAAACCCCAAAATAGCAATGCTGATGCTTGTATATCTGAGCTTTGTCATTTCTGCTAGCAGCCTTAATTCCCCGAATTGGGAGGGGTGAGGCAGAACGCTATTGTTGCGCATTTGAAATACCTTGCCCTAGACGCCTGCTCTTCTTATAGTCTTGCCACATTTTGTGCTATCAGCATTTCAGTTAACCACTTCTAACTTTTCATCAGTTAATTTCCTTCTTTAAAAACAAACAAACAAACAAACCCACAGCACAACCATAAAACTTGAAAAACCCTGAAAGGTAAAAAATCAGATTAAAGTCCCTTTGACATGACCAGTTATGATTTGCTGATTGCAATGTTCTGGTTTTAGCGAAAACTAAATAACTCATATACAGAATCATCCGTATCATTTAGCACCTCATCATCTCCAAAATTGTACCCACACTCAGTTTTGCCATTGTAAGTGCTAGTCTCACGGTAGTAGAAGACAGGGCAGCCTCAAGCTGGTACAGAAGCTGATCTGGATTGATGAGTCCCAGAAGTGGGATTTAGCTAGGTGAATGTGCTGATCTGGTAAAACGTGGAAGTGGCAACAATACAACAGATCAGACACTTGATGGTGGCATGGCAGTGTTTGGAATTATGAATTACATCGAGAAAAAGTCAGCATTATGCCAACAGGCAAGACATCTGATTCAGTTGTCTTAGGGAAACTATAGTAAATGATATGTCTGTACCTATTATTTCCTTGCTTTCCTTGACTTGGGGCACTGTTCTATTCTGACAGTGTTGAGACAGCTGCATTTTGATTGACCGTTTGGTTATTTTTGCAGCAGATCGTGCCTAAAACTTCAATATGAGTCATTATAAGCCTTTCCATGAAGATGAAAGAATCATAGAATCATAGAATGGTTTGGGTTGGAAGGAACCTTAAAGATCATCTAGTTCTAACCCTTTAGAACTTAGATAGCACACACATGCACATTCAGGAAAAAAAGCAGTTCCTAAAATGTCACGTGAATTTCTTTCTTCACTCACTTCAGAGGCAGGACTGACCATACTTGCTCCAACACACTGAAGGTAGCTTCACTCAGGTAGGTATAACAAGTTGCAGAATTCTGCTTTCCTCCTCAACTTGCAATTTCTTATTCTTCACTCCTGAAAACCTCTCTCCCCTCCAGTTCTCCCTTCTGTTCTCATAATGACAGAGCAGCACTTTTAGCACTCTCAAAAACATAGTATGGGCAACATCTTACTGATTCATCCCTCGGTTTACTTTGGACTAGGGTTTTTATTACTATCTTTACAGCACTCTTTGATTCCCTGTGCCTTTCATACCATCTTCTGTAGCTATATGGGGAGGCACCAAGATTCAGCTCTTGCAGCACTGTTCTCTGGTTGTCCCTTGTAAAAGTTGCTTCTGTGTATATCAGCAAGTCCACAGAAAATGTAACAAACTTGTTAGGATTTGAAGTTAAGCTCCCAGCTGCCTTCTAGTGACTTCTTTCACAGATTTACTTTCCGGTCACCCTCACCTAAAAGCGTCTTAGCAGCTGCCACTAAAAAGTGGCAAAATACAGCGTTTGTGTCAACTTTATTTCATTTTTTGTTACTGGTGAAGCAGTTCTAACAAGCATCACTCCAGATTTAGACTATATATTATGCAAGAAAGAGTGATGGTTTGGGATTTTTTTTAATAATATTGATATTTAGTCCTGCACACAGCAGTCCCTGACTGGCATTGAAGTACTGGCATAATAGAGTTTACACTAGAATCAGCCTGGGTTGTTTTACTCATGTCTCCTCAGTTGCTTCTGCAGGCTGCGTTCAGTTCTTATGTGCTTTCCTTGCATTCTGGTGATGCTTTTAGGGACCTTTTGGCAAGGGTTTGGTTAATGAGGATTTTATAAACAATTCTATTAATGCCTAAAGGATGAAGATCAGGCTCTTTTTTTCTCAGATCTATCTTGACTTTGCTAGATTTCCTCTCCTTTCTAAATTTACTAATATCTAAGCCCAAGAATAACTGAGCAATATCAGTTTTTCCACTACTGTTCTCATAGTTTTAAAATGTCACTTAAGTATTCTGTGGCTCAGAATTGTCTTGCAATAAGACACCTTTTCTTAATGTTCTTCTCAAGAACATTACTGGTATTACTCTGTATTTTAATTTTTCTTTCTTCAACTAAATCTCTGTCTGTGCTTCTTAAACCATTATTTTCTTGCCTTTCTCCTCATCAAGACTAGCTTTCCAAGGACTGAGCAGAGAGCTCAGAACTAGAGCAGGCAAAAGGAAGTTCTTACAGAGACTTCCCTAAAAAAACCCCTTAGCAAACAGAATTGCTGTCCTGTTTGTTCTATTTATAATGTCCCAGAAGTGGAGCACAATGAAATCTTTAGGGCAAGTATTGCTTTCTTAACCTAAACCTATTTCACTGGTTATACCAGAAGAAATTACTCATCATAAAGGGAAAAGGAACTAAAATTCTGACCTACCTTTCTGAAGAAGTGTATACAAAGTTGTAAGTTGATCAGGAAAATACACCTGGTGAGACTGCAAGCCTGTGAATAGAGAGCTCTGTTGTAGAGCAGAGACTAAAAAGAACCAGGCTGAAATCCAAGGAGATGACAGACAGAAGAACTTAAATGTGTGCAACCCCCCTGTTTGAGTAGTGAGGTTAGCGCACCTTAGCCACCACGAGAATGATGGTGTACAATGGTCAGATTAGAAAGCCTTTAGCACAAACTTGTATAGACCGATGCTCTGGTATCCTGATAGCTCTGTCCTGTCACCTGACTCAGAAATGTACAGCTCAGTACAGATAATGCGAGGAGTCTGGGGAGGAGAGTGTCAGTGGCCTACTGATTTGCTTTCTGTTTTACAGCTACAGAATGCCTCAACTCCTCAGCAACAGCAGTCCACATGAACAGGCTGCTGTTTATTATGCATCAGAATCCATTGTCTCTATTGCTGTCTTCATCGTCGTTTTCATCGTAGGTATTGTAGGCAATGGATTGGTGATCTGGGTAGCTGGTTTGAAAATGCAAAGGTCTGTGAACATTGTCTGGTTCCTAAACCTCGCTGTGGCTGACTTCATGTGCTGCTTGTCCTTGCCGTTTTCCATTGTTCACCTGGCCCTCCATGAACACTGGCTGTATGGTTGGTTCCTCTGCAAAGTCATTCCCTCAGTCATTATCTTCACTATGTTTGCTAGCATCTTCCTACTCGTGGCCATCAGCATTGACCGGTGCCTCCTTGTGATGAGACCTGTCTGGTGTCAAAATCATCGAACAGTGAAATTTATATCACTAATATGCAGTGGCATTTGGATCCTGGCCTTCATTTTTTGCTGCCCTGTCTTCTACTACCGTGAGACTAGCACTTACAATGGCAAAACTGAGTGTGGGTACAATTTTGGAGATGATGAGGTGCTAAATGATACGGATGATTCTGTATATGACTTATTGGCAGAATATTCATTTTCAGCCTACAATGGTAATGACTCATGGGGAAATTTCTATGAAGGTGATTATTCTGTATCACTTCCGTTAGTGGTAATAAACATCACCAGGGCCGTCTTTGGCTTTTTACTCCCCTTCGGCATAATGGCAGTTTGCTATGCCCTTATTGCTTTCAGGACACGTGCAAAACAGCATCACAAGCCACGCAACAGGATGCTGCGAACAATTGTGCTTCTGGTAGCTGCATTCTTCATCTGCTGGGCGCCATACCATGTAGTTGGAATTCTGTCCCTTGTACCTACTCTTGGAACAGGACTGAGAGAGTCACTGATCCTCTGGGATCACCTCTCTACAGCACTTGCATATGCCAACAGCTGCATCAACCCCCTGCTCTACGTTTTTGTGGGACGGGACTTCAGGGCAAAGGCAAAGCAATCAGTGCGAGGAATCTTGGAAAGTGCCTTTACTGAAGAGCCAACGCATTCAACCCCTTACTCCCTTGACAGAAGCAGGACTTCCACAGAGAAGGATGCTCACAGCACAGTTTAATGCAGAACTTCGATCACCATTGTAGAAAGAGTGATCTATAGCTCTGCACGTCCATCACTCTTCCCTTACCAGGGTTTTTTTTGCTTCAACATATTTGTTTACTCTGCAGATCCACTGCAGGCCACTGAGATGGTTCAAACCCGAACAGCTAACCCTCTTAATCTCCTGCTCTAGAGAGATGGAAAGTTGGAAGGACCAACAGTAACAATCTGAGGAAAGACTGGTGAAGCAGATGCAGAGCACCTTTAAAAAAGCAAGCAAGTTTGCAGAATTATTTGTGGTGGGATCACATAGTTTAACCTCTGTATTGCTAGACGATGATGCCATTTGAGTTAATTGCATATGCCTATGTTCTACATCCTCTGTCACTGATAAACTGCAAAAGAAACTAACTTTGATGTCTCTCCTTGGAATCTGTCATCCCACCTTTCCTCTCCTTTGACTATACTTGAGGTCTGATGCGTTCTTCTCTGAAAATTTTCCTTTAGAGGGTAGTGTGACTTTTTTTTACAGCAGTGCATCAGAACAGCACTTGCCCTGGTCAGCTGCATTGACTTTTATGCCCTGGTAGATGCCCAAATATTTCTTTGTCCTGGCAAACACATCACTGTACAGCAGTAACTGGTCCAATGCACATGCCATAGCCATGCTCGTTAGCATGCAGTCACCCACTGTCTCCTCAACACTCCCTCCACCACCAGAGTCCCAAATCTTCCTTTTAGGAAGTAGTAAAAGATTATGCAATGTACCTGCTGCATTTTAGCATGGGACATGAATAGAATTTGAGTAACTGCACTCATCGATGAATGATTAGGCAGCTGCTGGACTATCAGTCATTTGGTAAAACCTTGGTCATGGAGTTGTGGCATGGTCTCTACAAAAGAGATGTCCTCATGTCTTTCTGGTGGAGAAAGATAAAAATTTCATCTATTCAGGCTATTTGGGGGCACTTCCCTGCTCTTGAAAAGCAGACATATGTTTACTAGATACTCTTTGTTAGTCCTTCCTTATAGGAGTAAGGTCCACAAATGTTGTGACCCACAGCCACTAAGCATTGTTACAGTTTTCGCTTTGCCTGTCTGGTCAGCACAAGTTGATAGACTCATTGATAACAGTGCCCTTAGAACAGCCAGGTGTGAGAGCTTCGACTCTTTCTCTTGACACCCAAAGAAGTCTAAGGTGTAAAGCACAGAGGGGCTGTTAATGTAGCGATGTTCACACCCACATTCTGCTTCTAAGGTAAGCAGGTGGGAACTTAGCTCCCCTTGACAGGCGCCGCTGAGAAAAGATTCAATACTGGCACCAAAAGAGTTAAACCATAAACATTCACTTTTTCTTTTTATTAAGAAAGCATGCACAAAAATAAACTCGTGAGACCACGCCCCTCTCTCCCTGACCACTGACACAAAGCACGGGGGGTCACACTCCTGCGAGAACCCCTCTCCGGGACAGGCTGGCATCCCTCCCCACCCTGCAGAGCTCCACGCCGCCCACCCGATGCCTTCCCACGCACTGACAACGCACATTTATTTCAGGGGCAGAGGAACGAGGCTAATTTGCACACTGACCGGCATGTATTTACATATGCAAATGAGGCGCAACTTAATATGCAAATGAGGCAAATATGCAAATGAGGAGCACTTGGATACGCAGAAGGAGACATCTTGGTCTGGTTTTCTTCTGGTGGTGTTTTCGGACTTCCACAGGTCCGGCTCTCGGTAACATCCTCTGCAAAGCACTAACTGGCACCTACCAGAGGTTGTCTTTCATGGCTGTCTCCGGTGCCACTTTCCACAGAAACCCATCACACATGCTTCCAAGCTGTATCATTCCCATCCTGAGGCAGCAGAGAGAACTGCTGACTCACCGCTGAAGTTGTCTGGGATTCCTCATTTCTCTTGGAAACACTCAATGACGAACTCCCCCCCAAACACACACTTTAAAAAAAAAAAAAAAGAAAACAAAGAAAGAAACAAATGTCTCCCCCCCAATACAATGGGACTCTGTCCACTTCCCTGACGAAGATCCAATTGGTTTATCCCTACAGCACATTAGAAAGCAATGCTGGTTCCCCACCTTCCTGCAGTGAGAGTAGAGGTTATTACTCCCCTGCCCCAGGCCTGTCGAGCAGCCATGATGTTTTATTCCCGTCTTGGTTCCCTTCACTGGTAAACAGGGAATAAGGTCTGGGGGAAAGGCTTTACAAAATATTAAGAGGAACCAAGAGATTTGACAGAACAGACCCATATCAGAAGAAAGGGGAACACAGGACACAGCTTTGGGGAAGAGGCATCTCAACACTCACTCCTGCTCCCGCACCTTTTCCAGCTTCTCAATTTGCAAATGCTGACAAAAGTCATCCTTTGGGATTCACACTCAATTCCCTCATCTCTCCAGCTGAACTGTAAGGGGCCTGACCCATCCTCCTCCCTTCTATACTACACTCTTTGGCTGTTTGTCTAAAAACCTGCCCCACTTCTTCTCCCTTCTAATGTACCTCTTACAAAAAACACTTGTGAGGGCCTCCCAGTTACTTGACCAGAGGGTCCAGTCCCTTGACCAGAAGTCCCTAATTCACCTCTGCTCTGAGGAGCAGCTTCCTCTTCCCACATCATCCCAGTCACAAAGTGGGAACCACTGACTGAGAAGTCACACCTCCACAGCAAGACTCCTGTTGCTGCCACTCTGAAACCACAGGCAAGGACAGTCTCAAAAAAAAATATGAGGGGTGGGGGGCCAAATAAGAACTGAACAAATACTGATGGGAGAAAATTTCCAAATTTGCATATGCAAGTAAAAGCCTCACAACATATTTTGAAGAAGGGCTTGAAGGGGTGGGGGGTGAAATTAAAAGCTCTGGGGAAGAGAATTTGCTGAATCACGAGACACCCCTGACTGCTCCTTTTACCTGACAGATATGTAGACTTCATCTGGAGACCACAAAAGGCAGTGGAGAAAATAGGTCAGGATTCCCTCAAAATCTCTCTCGGTCCTCACGTACAGCACTGCATACTGAAATCCAACTTCGCTGCTGAAATACATTCTCCTTTCTCCAAACTCAGGTTTACCCTTCCAGCTCAGCTCTCCCCACGTCAGGGATTACCCTCTCTTTGTACTCGGGAACTCCGACTTCTTACTTGCTTCTCCTGCTGGTGTGAGAAAGTTCACAGAGCTAAGACCACCCCTCCAGTGTCCCTTTTAGCCCCCTGACCTTTACAACATTTAAGAAACAACATAACTACAGGTTCCCAGGGTCTACTAGGCTCTCTCACTCCAGTAGCCAATACAGCAGATTCACCAGCCACCTTGAAGGGATAGAGGGATTGT